GTGCATATATATACGTATATGTGCATGTATATGTGTTTGTGACTTAATATACTGAGATAATCGCGGAAATATCAGGTGTTTCAGCTATAATCGTCATGCTTAATAGCATAATACAATTGGCAATGCCTCATTTTTCGTCCAAACCTCTTTTCCTGTTCTCGATCAAATCAAATTGAATTCCTTTCAGGTGACCGCATTACCACTCTTTCTCTCTCTTCCTGTCATCCCTTTTACTATACCGATCATCCTTTTTCTCTTATTCTATTCTATCCAAAATAGTATTCCGTTGCATACTAAAAATAAGCAATTAATTACTAATTGATCCAAACGTAGAATAATTTCGGCGTTAGCAGACCTGTTAAACGTACTGCAATTATCTTTCCCCTCTTTCCTTTTTTTTTTTCTTTTTTTAAACCTTCCTTTCAATATTAATTACGAATTAATTTTTTTTCAGCTTTTCTGAAGTATTTGAATTTATAGATAGAATTATTGCATTTTATCGTCAACTACAATTGAATTTCCGATTATTTAAATGATAAAACTTGTTTTTTTGATCGGCAAAGAAACAATAATAAGCTTAGGCAAACCGAATATTTAATTCGGAATTATTACAAAAAAAGAAACAAATTTGTAAGAATGTTTGTTTTTGTTTTAAACGATTGATTATAAGGACTGTTTGATGTTAATAGTTTTATTTTCATCAGATTTTTTGCAAATTTCTCATTCGTTTAATATTCATATTTGTTATTGCACGGCGAGTTTACTTTCCTTAAATAACAAAATTAATTATAACTTTCTTTTATATTAAGGATTTCCATAATAATAAGAAATGATGAGGATATACTTGAATAACTGAATACTGATTAGTAAGAAATACTCATGCAGATGGACAAGTCGGGAAAAGAAAAGAAAATAATGGATTAAATTGATAGCTGATAGCTAAAATACCATCAATCACTGGTACTTTGATAATGAAATTATTGACAATGTTGTCATGATATCGTTATCATACCTCATGTAATTTCTTAAGTAACAATTTTATACTTCATATAGGAACAAAACTCACATTTCAATATTTTTTTCCTTTCTTCAGCTTAAAATGTTGAAGAATTACAGCATACTCGAAAGCATTCATTCATCCGTAAAACGTTACCCACAAACAAGCATCGAAAATCGAACTTGATGACCCCGTTGATTGTTTAGTCTGACAATGACAACCCACGACAGGTGTCACCATGTTCCCAGCCCCAAACATCTATCTAACCATTCATACAAGTCTCAATTATCTTCCCTTCTATCCGTATGTTAGCTATAAAGATTGGAAAGCGAACAGACACGCATACACGTCAATCATCAATCCTTTTGAAATATTAATTAATTAATGGAATATATATACATATACATGATACCAGAAAATTATCCACATTGCTTGCTTCTAATATCCATTCAATACAATCACATGACATAGGATCATAGTAATTTAGGATGAGACGAAAATTTTGGAAAAAATTTTTCATCCGAATCCATACATATGTATTCGCTCTATTTAAAAATATAAATTTGAAATTTTCTTGTTCCAGGAATTATTAATGTATATGGACAAAGAATCGCACGGTTTAATCAAAACAAATTGCGGGTAATCGTGAAAATTGAAACAAAAATCATTTTCAAATTTTAAATGAAAATAAGCAAAATATGTTCACAAGCATCAGAGCAAAAAGTGCAATGAATCTTCATACAATGTCAATATATTACAAGTGTAAAAAATTGCACAGACAAAAAGAAATGATTTCCGTGATTTGTGTCACAATAATTTAATATACAGAAGTTGGCAAATCTTTGCTTTGTCTATGTATGATTTCAATGTTAATAACCAGTACAAGATCATTTGAGGAGTACATGAAACTATATGTTAGCATCTATCCAACATGGCATATTATTTAGTAATTTATGAGCCATAAAATTAACGGAGACAAGCAAATCAAATTCAGAAATACCAATGGTGAAAACTTTTAAATTTTGAACGATATCCGCATAAATCATAGCACCAAGTCATATATTCCTAAATCATTATTTTTAGCAGAGAAACAACAAAGCATAGGAAAGAAGATAGCAACAAAACTTTGTACAAAAAATAAAGTATAAACATTGTAAAATACGAAAATGAACCAGCGATTTACGGTAAATAAAAAAAAAATGAACATGAACTCATTGCAACTGTAACCCATTCATTCCAAAAAATTAATTTACAGAATAAACATGACAAAACAATGAATATGATTATATAATAATGGAAAAACTGAGAGACAGGTAAATAGATGGATTCTTTCTTTCAATTTTCCGAAATTTAATCCACTCGCTGATACAACTGCAGATGGAATGACCATATGAAATTTTAAAAAAGGTTACCGCTTTTAAATAAAGATCATGTCACTGCGATTATTTGATATAGAGATATTCAACAAAGAAGGAGAAAAATAATGTAATAATTAAATTATTTAAGAAAAGCAAAACGAAATATTCCTAATCAAAGTTATTAAAATGAAACATTTCGCAATCCCAACAAACACTTCAAAAATGAACTGCACTGATTAGTATGCGATTTTTTGTGCCTCTATATTACTCATAGCGGGATGATATAATTTTCTCCAACGCAGTCAACACTGTTATCTTCATCTTCTCCTTCATCTTCAGCCTCTTCATCTTCGTTGAATTGAGTGTTGCTAAAGTACTCGACATTTTCTTCGTCAAAAATATAATGCTTAAGTGCGATATAATCTTCTTCTTTCTCCGCAATTTCTTCATTTAGCTTGGCTAAACGAATCGATAACTGCAATGCATATTTCTTTTTTATTCAACTGCCATTAGAATTCAAAAAAAAAAATTTTTGAGTTGATTTCTCAACTTCATTGTATATTAGATTTAATTTTTGAAAAATGCTATGCAAAAAATATTACATATTTTTTAATTGTTCAGCTCAAGATAACTCCATATTTGTAACAACTGAAAATATACTTTAAAAAGATTTTGTTGAATTCTATCCGTGTACTCATAATAAAAATCAGGAATTAAGCACAATTAAACCTCGAAATTGATCTTTGCTTTCTGTTCGTTTTCGACACGCAGTCGCTCTGCCAATCGGCGCCAATAATTTGCACTAACTTCTGGCGACCTCAGATCTTCAGCTGTTAGATTCGGCAATTCAGTGCTAGCTACTACATCCGTTTGTACTGCAACCTGAAATAAAACGGCTTGCGTTTAAAATTTAGATTCCTTCAAATGAACAGTTTGTGCGAATAATATTTAATAATAAAAATTTTGTTAGAAAAAAAAGATTCGATGCCGTCTCCATGGCTATCTGCATTCTGAACAAGAAGGCAATCGTTCAAACCGCGTCTCCTTTCTTTTCTACCCACATAAGTTTAATATTTCCAAGCAAACCTCAATATGTCAGATGTTATATTCGGTTGCTCTGAATTAACTGTTTTTGGTTCAGATCCGAAATTATGGATATTTCAATTTTTATTCTTCTCAGGCTAGAAGTTAGTGAGAAAGCAATAAGCTTCTTTACTAACTTTTAGTCCACTGGAGAAAATATTATAAGTGAACTCATATAATGAATACAGGGATATCACGGATTCAGCCAAAAAATCAGTTTGAAATTGTTTACAAATCAACTTGTTGATAGAACAGCAAAAGCACAATGTTAGTAGTAGGTAGATCAAACAAGACAAGACAAACCTCAACAGCGTTTGGTTTCTTATGTTGAAGTACCGCCTTTAAAATCTTCGTTTCATTCAAATTCTCCTCAGTATGTACTGAATTCCTCTTCACACTCTTTATATTTTTATTCCCAATTTTCGCTTCGCTTTGCTCATATTCATCCTTAACATTAAGTTTTGATACTAACTTATTTTTATTTGAAATTTTTCGGTTCATTATTCCTATTGCAAACTCTGATTATAGCTTAAAAAGAATCAAGAGAAACAAACCAAAGTTCATGCTTCTAATAATGAAAATACTCACAACAACTTGTTGAATGAAATTCTATCAAAATAGAAAATTGTTCTCCATCAAGCAATAATCTTTACCGCTGAACCATATTTAAAAAAAATTGTTTCAAACCTTGACGGAATTAATTCAATAAAATGACTTGAAGAAATTAATAAATAAAAAAAATCATCCTTTTCTTTTTTTTTAATAATTTCTAAATTGAAATATAACATGATGTGATAATGGACAGACTGTACCTTGATATCGGTCGTTGTTTTTGAAACTTTCAATTCTCCTGTTTTCCGCTTTGTACGTGTTGATATATTCTGCACCTGGCAAAGTGTTCCACCTGGCATATTTTCCAATATCCTACTATAAGTTTTTACAAAATGAGCAGCTGAAATCCGAAAAAGAAAACAAATGGAAATATTTAAACTATATAAAAACACAATATTTCACCGATGCCACCAAAATGCTTTTAGAGTTTAAATGCTGTCATTTCACACATGCGAATAAGTCTGATAAGAGCCCTTTTGCAGAGCGATTCCTAAAATATGTGAAAATATTAAAAAGTTGATATGTTCCAAAACTGGTGATGAATGAAACCAAGGGATTTTTAAATTTCATCTAAAAAAATTCGTGTGATCCCTAGCAAATAAATTTGAATATTAACTCATCAAAACCGAAAATAAAACAAAGCAATGAAGGAAGATCAAGGTACGTGTAAGAAATACCGTGAAAAAACATAAAATCTCTAAAAAAAAAAGTGTAGAAAAAATGTTGTCACTTTATCAGGTAAAAAATGAAGCAAACAGTAAATATAATTATAGAACATACTGGAAAAAAATTATACCCGAATTCACAATAAAGTAAATAAACATGAGAAATCTTCGATAGCACCTTAGCATTGTTAAAATATCGTTGCCAAATCGTGAATTTCAAATATATGACACTGTAACTCGATAATTTGTACTTTCGATCTCTTCACTCTCTATCAGCCAAACACTACTTTTTTTAGTACTATCAAACTAACAAAAAACTAATAAACATATTACATTGTAATTCAAAGAATATATCATTTTCTTTTGAAATCAACGAATTAAACGCCAAAAAGGACATAGAAGCACACAACATAGATATAAATCATAAGATTAAATTTTCTAAAAATTAGTTAAATTCGGATGACGAAGAAGTGGATTTATCCTCATTAGTAGCATCATCCAGATGTTGTGCCTTTTCTAACAGTTCGGAATTCATATCTTTGAGTTCTTCTAGCCGAGTTTTTCCGCTGTTTATCAAATTTTCTAGCTAAAAAGGACAATAAAAGTAGTATAATTGATATGAAATTGGTTTTTGGCACTAATTTAACGAAAAATGCACAATTGAGAAGATCAGAAAATTTGTTCGAAAGCTACAAATATTTTGGATACCTTCCAGTTTGTTAAGTAAAAATATTTAATTAAAACAGTGCTGGCATAAATTATGAAGCTGTCGTAATATTACCAAAAGCTACCACTTTCATTTAAATATATATCGAAAAACAAATTGCCAAATCGCGATTATTTTATAAAACTTTATCTTACATTAAGATTGTCTGCTCGTAATTTGTCCAATTCACTAGCAAATTTTCCAGCCATAAAACGCCAAAATTGCACATTGGCATTTTCCGAATCGTAAGCTTCAAGTGAACAGGGTATTGAAAATTCCGTCTCTATAGATTCATGAATCACATTTCGGATTTCTTCCTAAAAAGCTTGCAGTACTGGTGAATTCTCAACATTATCGAGAGAGATTACTGGGTATAATAAGAACCAACCTGTCAACTGAACTGAATTTGTATTAATTGTAATCAAGTTCTCATTAAATAATCGCAATTAATTAAAGAATCGACTTGTTTTTCTATATGTTGAACAAATCTATGGTCTAAATCTCAGAGCAAAAGTAAAATTGAAAGCAACTAAGAATTGGGAAAACTTCAAGTTGGAACAATGATGAAAGAAGTGGTGCTATTAAACTTTTATCACTGACAAACATCTTAGTGAAAGTGATTTAAATCCAGAATAAGTAGTAATAACTAATTTCACATATATTTAGGCATTTGACCTTTCCTTTGATTCGTTCCAGTTGTTTTTTCAATATTGTCGACGAAAGATTTTCATCACCTAATTGCTCATCCATATCTTAAAGAACCTAAAATAAACCATAAACTATCAAGAGTATTTAATCATATTCTTTCAATTTGCCACGCTTAAATCTCCTACTGAAAGTTGAGAAATAATTGTCTTTCTAAATTTAAATATATCTATAACCTCTCTGTGTCACATTTATCACTTCAAGATTTCTAATTTTTTAGGCACAAAATTTAGGGAAAAAGAAAAAATGAACGCATAATTTTTGAAAAGAAAAAATTTACTAAATATCAATAAAAAACAAACCCAAACACATTAATAATGAGTTGAGCACTTACCAAGAACCGTACTATTTAGCAATCGAACCTCTGACCTGGCACTGTTCCAAAATAACATCACCACGCAATTCATAATTCCCGCTCGGAGCAAAAACGCGGTATATGCGACCCAGTAGTCACCATTATTCAAATTTATGTCTCACTTGCAACATCACTTTTTAATCGCTATGTGGCAGGCTTAGCGATAGAGTAGAGAGGAGGTGCTCCATTTCCGAGACTGGCAGTGGATGATCGTATCTTTCCGAAATTCTCTAGAAATTAATAGAATGACAAAGTTATTATCTTCCCTATCTGTTTTATATTTTCGATTCATGGGATTGAAGTTTTATTTAAAAACTTTCGGTTCCAGCCTTTTCATGTTATCTTCTTCTTTAACTTCAGTGCATTTTATTTTTAGAACAATGCTGTCGCTCATTACTATCCTTTGCTTGGTATGTTTTTACAGTGTAACTGAAAATATTTAAGTTTCACGAAAATTTCTATTGGGATACACAATATTTTCGCATAAAAAATTTTAAAATAGCAATTAATATAATTGCAGATAACAATACCTGTCAGTGGTCAAATGCTTCCACTTACGATTAAATTGCCTTTGCAAAAACATCAAGTTTATCAAGGTAACTACCACTTCTAATTAGTTTTTTTTTCCAAAATTATATTTTATATACTATATTCCCCATAACCAGTTCTTCTTTGCAAGCATTCAACATAACTATTCTAATCACTTCAAAGTACTGATATCATTAAGCAGTCCCGATTTTAGAAGCGCTTTTGTTCGAATACCAATAAATCATTACAAAAATCTTCCATAATTTCGTACACAATTTTCACCATCAGAAAAAAACGCAAAATCATCTTATATGTGCTTCATTACGCTTCGATTTCAGTTGCTAAAAATACATTTGGTTGAAATGACAATAAGAAAATCTCAAAATAAAAAAAATCAAGATCCAAATAAGTGAAAGTCAAAATGCGGAAAACGAAAGTCTATATATCCAATAATAATAATACTATCCATTTCAGACAAAGTAAAGCTTAATGAGACAGGACCAATGAAACAATCAACCTACAAGGATGCTTTTAAACCGGCACATTACCAAGATTATCCATAATGAACTAACACCATTTTGCAGGGTTGCCTTCGTGATGTTTATTGAAATGTCCTATGCTTATTTATAATGTGTGATCGTTGCAATATCATTAATAGAAGCTTGCGGATCTTTCTTGCGTAATAATAAGTATCCTTGCACTTGAGCTGGACTTATCTCCATATTCAGTGCTACTGCTGCTTCCCGAAATTTCACAGCCATATCTTCGGTAACAATATTACCGTAGAAATGTTTAAACATCTGTAAAATTTTCCTCCCGATTGAATAAATTTGATATTAACTTCCTCTTTGCCGATTACATAAACAAAGAGGCTATAACTTTTAGGAGGTCCGTCTAAGACGCACCAAATCAGTCTTACTCAATAAGCAATTGCTTTTCTCTTATACAAATAACTGCTATGATATAATTCACTTTTGTCATGCAGATTTACAGGGTTCCTTAACAAATCCTGAAATGTATGATTTCTAGATGTTTACCAATTCAGAGATCTGCGCGGAATCAGTTGCAACGATATTACATGAAGTTGGTTACTAGAAATATACCTCAGAAAACATAGCCTCGGTGCAGCAACCAAAATATTGCTTCACGTCGATACGACCTGGACGTATTAGAGCTGGATCAAGACGATCAACATGATTGGTTGTCATAAAAAGTATTCGTTCATCTGCACTAGCAACACCATCAATCGCATTTAACAGGCCCGAAAATGTCACCCTGTAAAATGACAAATTCCAAAATACAATTCAACTTCTAACCACAGTTTGTGACTTTACAACTTTATTTAATTGTTTTTGGAATTCAAATCTAGTCATAGTTTTCCAATACAGCTTTTAAAAGCTAAACGTTATTCTAAAACGGCGAATTAGGTATGGAACGTATTTCAAAAAAAAATATCTCTAGTATTTAGAATTTTATGGCTTTTTGTCTAAATCTGAATAATATATTTACTGCAAATTTGGTCTACCTTGTCAAACCTTCGTACGTCTTTGAAGACTGTATTGGGTCGTCACGAGAACCAAAAGCGGCATCCACATCTTCCAATACCACTACACTCTGTATTTAAAATTCCAATTTACTTAGCCAGTTCATTGGATGTAGTAAACATAGAAATTAATTACTCTCTAAAAGCATATAAATTTTACTTAACTTTGACCAAGACTTACACAAGGAGGTGGACTGTTCAAAAGATGATTTAAGCGATCATCGTCAAGGGTTCTTTCACTGAGTGATAACATGCATACACTATAACCGAAGTAGCTAGCTAATGCGGCAATGAAACTGCTTTTACCGGATCCGGGAGGTCCATAAAATAAATAGCCACGACGGTATGGAATTCCACGTTCCGTGTACCTTTAAAATGAACAAGTCTAGAATTGAATAAAAAGAACAACCAAAGAACTATTAGGAGAAAAAATATTCATAATGAAATTGTACTTATTTGAAAGTACCATTTGGAAGATGAACAAAATTCCTGGAAATCCTTCAAGATTGAATTTGCAACACCATTGTCTAAAACAACCGATGTTAAAGGCCTTTTCCTCATTGGTGCACCGAAACGACGCCATTCTGGTCCTACAGCTCGATAGACAACTAAACCCGTTTCAACCTAAAATTTTATGTAGCATTATACATACAACAAAACGCTGAATTCTGCCCAACTAAAAAATTCTGTTGTAATTTTTCTAGAATAAAAAAAAATACTTATTCCTAACTCGATATTTCGTAAATTTAGTTACTATATGATGAAAGAGATGAAACAAAAATTAATAAATCCGAAAAGAAACAAGCAGAGTGTGGGTTAAACTGAAACAACAAATTCTAAATCAAATAAAGTAAAGACATTTACAAATAAAAAACTTAAAAACTTTTACATGTTGCAGCGCTTCTGAGATGGCTTTATCGAGCAAATTTGTCAAAAATCGTACATCGATACCTGCAATTGGTTTTAAATATTAAATAAGTAAGAATGAAAAGCAAGAACGGCAATCTAAGAAATATGAACGGAACATACCCAATGTTGTTAATGTGACTGTTTCAAAAGGTGCGCGGTAGTTTCCTTTCTGTATGACCTGCTTTTCTCGTTGTCTTTCTACCTGGACAATATAAGTGAAAAAAAATTTCGTGCTATAAATCGGAGAATTTCAGTATTCAATTTTAACGGTACCTGTATCCATCGGTAATTATACGTAAAATAATGCATTCCATGTCCTGGCAAATATGTGAAATTCGTAACAGTTCGGCCACTTTCTGCTTGGCTAATTGAGGTATGTACTGAAATTTGCCGTGTTCGACGTGCGCTGTTTCGATTGATGTAATCCAGCAACCATGGATATGCACTAAAAATATACGTACATAAGTTTCAAAATCAAGTAGACCAAAAAAAGACATGCTTAGGCAAAAGTACTCGCAATATCGCTTCAACTCATGATAATATCTTCAGTATTATGATACCAAAATCACTGAAATGGATTAAAATGCTTAAGCTAGGCCCATTCTGATCCATATAATTAACTGACAGAAAATACTCACGGATCCTCATTACTGATTTGCAACGATATCAAGAACCGTCTTCTGAATAATGTATTCGATATCACTACCAATTTCCGAGCGATTGACAAACACACTCCAAGGCCTGCAAGTCCCGCTCCAGCTCCGAAGTAGGGATTTGCTGACAGATAACTGTATATCTGAACATTTGAAATGAAATGACTGATTCTGCAAGAAGATTTTAAGACAGAAACAACCAGAAAAGTATGCAAATGAAAAAGTTTTACTGATTTCAGTCAGCAAGCCAGAACAGCCATGAGCAACCGAATATCTATGATACTGTATTAAATAATCAAATAATATCAACAGTATTAGCAAAAATAAATTTACCTTGCCAAAACGAGTTGAGTGCAATGACTCGACGAGCAGTTCGCTATCCAATGACTCTTTCATCCTAAATGTTTCGGAACTTTGTCAACAATTCATCAGATTAGCCATGGATAAAAGACGAAAAGCGATTTGGCGACATATATTTCCAAGCAATAACCCATAACCATGACCGGATCGTCCTAAGCTACAAGTGGTACAGAGCAATAAAATATAGTATGGCAGCTTGTTACAATTGACTAACATTAAATACCTGCAAAAAAAGTTAATTAACAGGTTTCAAAATTCAACTTTAAACAATGACAATTTTAAAACTCATGTTTGAATAATTTTTGTATATAACTATTCTCGTATCTGTTATTTAATTAAAATACAAAATTACAAAAAAATGTTGTAAAAAAAATACAAGAAAATAGTAAAAATGAGGAATTTTTGTCAAACGAACAAATATGATCAGTTATAGACAGTAAATCAATAAAACGAGAAAAATCATTCCATACCATAAAATCTCTAAAATCCATAAAATTTCCGTAATGATAATCTGATATTGTAGTTCCAACGCGACAATATTTAACGCTGGGCTATATGAAATGACGGAAGTTTAATTTTATTTTATTTTTTAATTATTTTTTAATCAGTATACTTTTGAGGGAACGAGAGCTAAATGTGCTCATTATAAAAAACGGGAATAAAATGGTAATAGTAGTAGCAAAGAGTGAAATTTTTGCAAATAGTGAGAGAGTAACAAAATTATTTAACATTAAATTTAAAGTCCGATCATGTTTGACATAAATACTCGTACACATCCATACTTTTTGTTGCTATTATACTTCCCTTAAAAAATAAATAACAAAAATGTAACACTTTAAAAAATTGTGTTATCGTGTTAAAAAACTGTGTTATCATAAAAATTGTGTTATCATTACGTCTCATACGTCATTGTTGAATACAATTGTACTTCATATTTTACATGCTTTCTGTGGTTGTTCATTCTGTTATTCTTTTTGCTTACTTATGTTATGTTTATCTCTAATGATGTTTGAAATAATAATTGCATTCAACTGTCGCATAAGTTTGAAAAAGAAAAAAAAAACTTGGAAAAATTTTTCAGAAAAGGTCTTTTTTTTAAAATGATGAATAAATTTTAAAGTTATTTCAATAAATGCTTTTTCTTTTCTGTTCTTCTTTTCAGCAACTAAAGAAGTCTTTCGCGGGTAGTAAACGATACCATCGACCATTAGAGTCAATCTCTAACAAAAATAATGGCGGAATCAAAGACAGTTGGAGGATTGATTCGCTCTACTAGTTTGTTTTTTTTCTTACATGAATTTAATTCTTATCCAATAATTCTAATGTAACAATTATATTTGACAGTTCTGAAAGAAAACTGTTTAATAGCACTGTTAGTATTGTTATTAAACTGTTTGCATAATTGGCGTGTTTTATTCCACGGAAATGAATTTGAATAGGAATTAAAGTGATAAAAGACAAGTATTTGGGATATAGATTAATTTTGATAGGAATGAATATGGATAAAAGTTTAAAATGACTTAAGCGAAAATTCCGTGACTTTAAAGAAATGCAGCTACATATTTATATCATTTTGTGTAAACAGAAAGTGAAAAAAAAATTAAAATGGTTTAAAAGATATGCGTTTTGAGCCTACTATATTATCGATGTATTAAATATGATAATCGAATTATTGTTAGAGTAACGAATACAGTGCAATAATAGAAAATAAAAAAAGTGTGAATATGAATACAGTGTTGAAAAGGGAAAGAATAAGATATTTCTTACTGCATAATATTTCTTATCGTTTTACATCACATTGATAGATTCATTAATTAGTAATATCTGTTAGTGAAATGCACGTGGTCGAATGGATAAGTGATTTGACCTAATCCTTGTTTTTATTTAATATCCTAGACAAGAATTCAAAATCTTGGAATTGACAGTAAAAAATGAGGCGCGTTTGCGCAAATAAATAAAATAATGTTATTTTTAATAATGATAAAAATTAGATTTGGAAGGGAAAAGTTAATTTATTTTTTTTGGTTTCGATATAAAATTTTCCTCTTTCTTTTGAGGCAAAGAATCAATAATATCCGCGATTAGTCGTGTTGGTGACTGGGAAATCGGTGATCGCTGTCAAATCGGTGGAAAAATGGGCAATATTGTATATATTGGACCAGCAAGATTTGCACCAGGTGAATGGATAGGTATTGTTCTTGATCAACCGCTTGGAAAAAACGATGGTTCTGTTGATGGACATCGATATTTTTCTGTAAGTGCTGAAGTTTTCTTCAAAAATGTCATTACTTTTGTATTGTTCATCAAATAAAATTTATTGACTATATTCACCAACTAAAAAATGAACATTAGCATTCAGTAAACTGTGGATTCCTTAGAAAAACACGCAAATTTTTTCAGTGTGAACCAAATCATGGATTATTTTGTAAAGCCAGTAAATTGGAACATGTACAATCACCGACTCTATCAACTGAAACGTCGCAAAATAATCCGTTTTGCAAAGAATACGGGTTTGCACTTCATGTTTTTTTTTCTCATCCTAAAGTACATTGTCAATCAATTTGGAGGAAGAAAAAGGAGATTTGGGTAAGAGAACAAGCGCCAATTTGGTTTATTTCTCGGTGTAGGTTTTATACCATCAATGAGCAATATGTACAAAAGTTTTGAGTAAATCTAAAATTGGAATTTTAGTAAGTTATATTATTTTACTTTTATTTCAAGCTATGAAAATCCTGAAAACAATTTTTCTGTTAAAAATTCTCACATTGTTTTCCAGATTGGAGATCGGTGATCGAGTTATCGTATCGGGTGGTAAATGTGGAAGATTACGTTTTCTTGGAAACACTGATTTCAAAGACGGCGTTTGGGCTGGGATTGAGTTAGACCAACCAGCAGGGAAAAACGATGGCAGCGTTCAGGTGTTTCAAATTTAGTCACATTTTTATTTCAGATTTTCTGAAAATGATCACATATATATGTCTGTAAAATGGAATTTCATTACTTCTAAAAATTTATTGATTTTTAGGGTAAGCGATATTTTACATGCAAAGCACCATATGGTTTGTTTGCTGCCGCATCAAAAGTTGTTCGTGCACCCGAACAAAATTCTGCTAAATTTAAAGTATGTTTGCTATTCGTAGATTCAGTTTTTAGCTCGAAATTTTTTACATTTCTGTCTTTATCCTTATATATGCATATGATGAAATTCGCAGTTCTTTGTATTTATTATTTATGCTTACATTGTTCCAGTGGTTTATGCCATGTCTCTTTGATATTTGACCATCTTTTTTCATATGATAGGCATTCATTGATGACAGTCTAACATTACTTATGTTGAAGAATAATTCTAGCTTGATTATTGGAACATTTCAAAAAATTCTTAATATCTGGTGAAAAATGTTTGTTTTAGGCAAAAGAATTCTTAGAAAATTTTTGGATTTAAATGTATTTATTACAATAAGCATAATACCTGTAAAATTGGTTCTATAGATTCGACATACAAAAACGTCAGCATTACGGCAAAGGTCGGGTAGTCACGAGTCATTATCATCAATTAGCGCATCGTCGGTTGCATCATCACGAATTTCCAAATACAACTTCGCCACTCCACGATCTGTCCAGGTATGAACACTGTTCTGGTTTTGACAGTTGTTTGAAATTCTATAACGAAAACACAGCACGTGCAAATGTGACAAATTTATTTGCACAGATTTTTTGGAAAAATAACTGAAATTTTTTGTTTGTTCATGCATGGTGACTTCAGCTAACGCAGTTTTGGAATTTTCTGTTGTACTGCTAATATATTTACTATATTTGACTTGATCCTAAAATTTCTCTATATAAGCTTTCTCGTTTTGTAGTATTTGGAAATTATTTTAAAAATTGCAGAGGCCATTTATTATTTCATCATCCAGAGGACAAGAAGATTTATTCAAAGCACTTCAGGTTAGCTCTGCTTATGACTGGTTTTAGTTATTCAGTTTTTACATTAACCTTCCTTACTATCAGATGGCATTTAATAAAATGATTTTTTTTTATTTTGAATCTCTAAATTATTCTTCTGTGAAAACCTTCACTTCTTTTTTCTCCACGATGATCTTTTTATTATTACCAAAATCTCGGGAATAAAAGGAATCAAAATTCTTGTCTTTATGAACTTTTAGGAGTCATTAAAAGAGAAGGAAACACACTTGGAACAGATGATCAGGGAACGTGATCTTGAAAGGAATGAAATGGCAGTTTTGTCAAATCGTTGCGAATTGGCAGAAGCAAAAGTAGCACAGCTCGAAAGCGCTAAAACTTTAGTAGATCAACAGCTTGAAGCGTTAAAAGTTATAATGGATGAAACTGAGGCTAAATTTAAAGTAGCAGATGGCACTATTAATGATCTTACCGTTCAGTTGAAGGAAAAGAAGGATGTAAGAATTGGTTCACGTAATTATTTTAATTTAGCAAAACAAAAGATTTTTGTTAGTTTACAGCACTTATGTACTCATCATTCGTTACTTCTTAATTGTCTTAGGATTCGGTTTGTAATATCTTCAGTTCAAAGTTCATGTTTATAGCGTTATAATTTCAAGACGGATAAGTTATTCGTTAAATCACTATTTTTCAGCCTCATCTGAAATGCATTTGTCGAAATGTTTGATTGGCAGGAATAATCGATTTAATTTATTTCTAGATATAAATCTCGTGTTTCATCAAAAAATTCTCTTATAAAACATAAATTTAAGATTTACAGGCTCTTGAGGATTTAACATTTCGTTATGATGAGGAAACTATACTGAATGCTGAAATGGAGGAAAAAATTGCTGAATTGGAAAAGAGAACTGTTATTAAAGAGGTAGTTCTTGTATTGTTATGTTCAAAATTTTAATTTACTTTCTACAATATTGCTTCAAAGTTCAAATTTTAAAGAGTGGTGATGAGGATACGACTAAAAGATTAATGGTCGAAATGGAAAAAACGAAGTTGCAGCTGAAGGAATTGGAAAAGCAATATTCCGGTATGTTGCATCATTTTTCATTTATTTTCTGCTGAAAGTTTTATCTTTTGCTTTATAATGTAGAACAAGCATTATTTTTCAAGAATATTTTTTAAATTTTTTTGCATCTTCAGCTCTGGAACAAGAAAAGCTTTTGGTATGTGCTGGAATGAAAAATATATTATCCGCCTATAAACAAGATTTTATGGAGGTATATTATTCTGAAATCAAAACTTGAAATTTGCAGTGTCACATTTTTAATTTTGCAGTATCACATTTTGCAGGCTATTAGAAAGTCCGTTAAACATTTTTTAGTTGATACAGCTCTTATCGCCAAATGATACTGTCGAAGGTATGGATGAAAGTGAAGCAACTACCGATGATGACCGAGATTTATCGAAACAGTATGTAATATAGTTATTAAAAACTATTCTCTATCATTTTTCACTAATCAGTTCTTGTTTACACATATATTTAGGTTGGAAACGAATATGAGAAAGTTTGGCAGTTTGATGGATCACAATAAAATAATTAAAAAAGTAATACAACAAAGGCTTGAAAGTAATACGGAAGAAATAAAAAATTTGACAGCTCAGGTATCTCGATTATTTCAGAATAAATTAATACAGAAATATGAGAATATGCCATTCACATTATTTTCCCAGAAAATTAGCTACTAGATTTGATGTTTAACTAAAAAATTTTTGTGATCCTTCTTTCTTTTTGTATTAAATTAGGCATAATTTGTTTATTTTGACAATTTTTCCTTTCCATGTATGATTTAATTTAATAAAATTCTGGTGATGACTGAATATTCTAATTTTCATAATATTTTTCAAATTTAGCTTGAAATTTTGAAAAAATCATTAGATGATAAGACAATTAATACTTCACAAAAGGACGAGGAACTAACAATATGTCAGGCAACCGTGGATCAGCTAAGAAATGAGCTAGAAGAGTAAGCTTTTTCGTCAATTTTTGTAGAAAATGAAAACAATAATTTTATGATGAAGATAATTTCCAAATTTTTTAGAGTTAAAGGAGATAAAGCGAAGCTGAAAGAAACATATGGTGAGTTAGAGACATCGAATAATGTTCTGTTGAAAAATTTCGACAACTTGAATCAAAAAAACACTGAAGTGATTACGAAAGTAAGTACTAATTCCAATAATATATATTTGTAACAGTACATTTAGTAGAATAAATACAATTATATCGTACTTAATAAGAAGTGAATGCAACTTATACCTCCTTATTGATCTTCCTTATCTGGTTCTGTTTTCATGTTCTAAACTAACCAAAACGATTGATTCAGGATGGCTTTTAATCTAAATCGCTTGAAGTTCAACTAATGATTTGTTTCTTTACAATTCGTTTCAGTCACTGTGACCTGTTATTTACTTTTTTTTCTACAGATGGAGAATGAAAGAAAAAAATATAATATGGAAATCACCAGACTAAATGGAGAGCTGCAGAAAGCACAAAACGATGCTATCCAACTACAGGAACAGTTGAAAAAGTCAATTACTTTTAGCAGTCTTTTTTATTATAACAAGATTGGATGTTACCCTTTTTTAAGCTATAAATTAAAATTTTCAAAATGATTTTTTTTTGTATTTCTAGGATGGAAATTGAGAAAACGAAATTGATGGAATTACGAGAATCTCTGGAAAATAGCAATAGAGAACTTCTTACAGATATGAAATCGTTAGAATTGCAGAAAACTGAATTGGAGGAAAAGGTTCTGTTGTTTTGTTTTTAATATTTTCTCGTCAATATTTTAATATTTCTTTTTAACGAGTCTTTTAATATTTTTCATTTTTAAAGTTGAGACAGAAGGAATCAGAGAAAGAAATACTCAATTCTTTCTTAACAAAAAAGGAGATAGAGCTTTCTTCGACAAAATCCAAAATCGATGAGCTCACTGGCCAAATTGATAGGTAAGTGAAAGTTGTTTTTTTCCCCAAAGTGATAAATATGATACTATTTTGCTTTTATTCTATGAGATGCTTTAGCAGATTTAAACTGCAAATTCAATTTATTTACAGACTTCGTATCAATCTTTGTGAAGCCAGCTCTAGTGATGAAAGTCTGAAAAAGGAGCTGGAATCACTTCATGAAGAAAACAAGAAAGAAGCTGAAACGCATATTGTTCAGGTAAAATCTTTTGGTAAATAATTGAAATGAATTATGGTGAAAATTTTATTCTCTATTTGCCATATTCTTTTTTTTTAATTTGTATTGCTATTCAGAAAATAGGAGAGAAACGCAAGCTTCGTTATTACAGATGGCACAACTACAAACAGCCAATGAATCCCTTGAGAAGAATTTATTAGTAACTAGAAATAACTTGCAAAGTCTGGAAAATATGCATGACGCCACGAAAAAAACATTGGGAAAGTAAGAGCAGGATTTTCTTATCTTCGTCTCAACGCATTTGGAATTGTTATATCTAAAAATATCATTTTTAGTTCTGTTGTCGAATTTGAAGCGATCAAAATGTCAATTTTTTCCAGGAAAGGATTAACATATTGCTGTTTGTGAAATTTTTTTATTTTCAGAACTCAATCCGAACTTGAGAAATTGAAAGAGGAGTTTTTATCTTCACAACAAGAATTAACAGCTGAACAAGAAAAAGTAAGAATTTCATGGCATATTTTGAATCTTAGAGTACTTCTAAAATTTATTATTACTATCTATTGATAGCTGACATATTACTATACGAAGAAATTAAAGGTTTATAATTCTGTTATAATATCACAGTTAATTATTTTTTTGTTTTCTTCACTTACTGTAATTATTACCGTTAAGTTGCGGAATGAAATTATTTGATTTTCACCAGGTTGTGAAGTTACAACAGCAGATAGTTTCTTACATCAGTGCTACGGAACAAATGCAGAGGTTGCAAGAAGAAGTTGCAAGTCATGCTAAAACTCAGTCAAA